ATTCCAATTTTGTCAACCAACCCAATAATGTCCTTTATAAGTATGTTTTCCTTTTAGTACCAGAGCCTGTCTGAGATCAGGTATTGTCTTTAGTTGTCACATCTCTTTAGTTTCCTTTAATCTGGAACACTTTCATAGCCTTTCTTTGTTTTTTGTGACACATTTTAATAGAATGTTTATCGTTTGCTTAATTTTTCCACATGATTAGATTCAAAATATGCACTTCTGGAATGCCACATTAGTGACGCTGTGTCCTGCTCAGTGTGTCAATCTGGAGACACACAACGTTCATCTTCCCCTTGGTGATATTAATTTTGATCACCCAGTCATTGTGTTTGATTTCTTCACAGTACATTTACAGTTTTTTCACTTACAACTATTAAGCAGTTTGTGAGGATACACTTTAAGGCCTTATAAACATCTTGATCGTCATCAGATCTCTCCCCCTAGATTTAGCATCCATTGATGATTATTAACCTGGTCCAATCTTTACTGTGATGTTTGCAAATGATTTTTTCCAACCCCAGCACTCACTCCATATTTACCTGTCAGCCCTTGGCATTCTGCTATATGCAAGAGTCCTCCCTTCCACTGCCAGTATTTGCTAAGGGCTCCTTTCCCTAATGGGAACCTGTTTTAGTAAATTTGTTGAATTCATTGAGTGTATATCTGAGGTATTTCCTTTCTTTGTGAATATAGACTCATGAATTTCAATTTTTTCCAATGGTTTATAATTCATTATTCTCAATAATTTTGGTGCCCAAATTGTCCCAGATTTGACCAGTAGTCGTCTACTGTTTCCAAAGCAGTATCTCATCTCAAAAGCTTCATAAAGGTCACAGAAGGGAGTTATTTTTGAGTCAGAGGTAGCCCCATATCATTCAGATATGTAGTTGTATCATTGAGGTAGCCATAAGGTCTTTCTACAGATGGAGTTAATCTTGCCTAACAGTCTCAAAACCCTAATGTGGTTTTGTTTTCTTTACATGTTCAAGACAAGAAAGAACATTTGTTTACTGTAAACCTCCTGCCATTCTTTTGTAGTTGTGAAATAGAGAGCACAACAAAGAATGGAATTCTCAAGGTTTAGCCCTGCTGTGAAAGGCAAGGAAAGCCTGGTGCTCTTTTCATCAGGGGCTCTAAACTCCTGTGAAGGGAAATTTCCTTGCTCACATTACAGCACAATTACCTCCCTTTTTTTTCCTCCCAAGGGACGTGTAATGCAAAATTGTTGCTACAATAGCAGGAAAGCACTTGGTTACATGGTATCGAAGCATATTACTCCTGCTATTTATTGTACCTCAAGATTTATTTTAGCCATTAAATTTACTTTTTGATAGAATGTTTAAGACTCTTTCTAAAACCTCCATGTTAGGAAAAACTGACCATTTCCTACATTCTGTAGGATTTACAATGAGTATTTTCTGATCTAAAAAATACAAGTTGGCTTTTTTTTTTTTGAGGTTTCATTGACTACAAAAATAACCAACACTCTACCAGCACTTACTATGTGCATACTGATGTAAACACTGCAGTGATACACGATTCTATAAGGTAAGATATCTCGTTTTACAGATGAGGAAACTGAAGCACAGAGAGTTAAGCGACTTGCCCAAGGTCACGTAGTGGCTGAGGTTGACTTGAAGCCAGTCACCATGGCTCTACAGCCGCTGCTCTAATCACCACACAGAGACAGGCAAAGGGGGTTAACATTTCTGGAAACCTTTGACCTACCTCACACAATGAACAAACACAACGAGCAGACATCCCACGTAGAAGGACAGGAAGATGAAGACACTGAAGAGACTGGATTTCACATAAACGGATTCTGAGGGGAGAGAAACAACTTTGGTCAGATTGTCCTCAGGAGCAAAGAAGACAGTATTTGAGAGAGAACAGCTTAAAGGGCCCACCTCCATCACACCCATTCTTAAGTCC